TCGGCCCTAAGGGGGGGATACTGTCATATCCCATATATTCACGCTTCTCTTCCGGACTTCGGACCCTGAGATCCGGTCCGGTCCGATGTATAGATCCGCTTCCGATCCGATTTACGATAAGCTTTCTAATTCATTTCCTGTTTCATATAACGTTAAACACAGCCTATTCGGTATTTCCTCTTCCCGGTGTTTCGGTTATGCTTATTACCGGTATGATTACTGATCCGTTAACCTATGTCTCATTTCCGACTCGCGTTTGATAACCTTTGCACATGCTTCGTACATAGCCTCGGACCCTTGCTTACTGATACTTCCGTTATCCTCATAGTATATAAACTCGTGTATATGTCCTGTAGTACCTCAGTTCGAATATCATCTTAGTTTGTCCTCTTTCTGTCCTCCGGACTTGAGTTCTCCTTACTCTTGTCACTCTCCGAGACTTCGGATAGATTCCGATAGTCTATATCCTCGGCTCTACCTTCGGGTAGTCTTTACTCTGTTAGTTTCTAGTTCGGATACGTCCGGATTAGCCTTATACGCGTTTCCGATATCCGGAAGACTTCCGGATATACTACGAGACCCGTCCGGACCTTCGGACGCGTTATCGTTAGTACTTTGAAATAAGGGACAGTACTTGGGAAAGGGGCACAGCGTACGAGCTGAGGCCGAAGTCCTTCGGATCCGATCTTACGAGAGTACGACCTTAACACTCATCGATAAGGGTCCATTTCATCGCCTGCTTCAATACCTTCAGCCCTCCCTGTTGGATAAGGATATCCCCCATCGCACGAAGACTCGCAATGAATACTCGAATGGGCCAAGCTTGCCATGCAACACGTCAAAGAGAAACTTAAGAATGTTGACAGCAAAAATTCTGTCACTTTCGACTCCTGGACGTCTGAACCTGGTGTGCCTTTCCTCTCTGTCACTGCGCATTATATTGACTCCCAAGATGGTAAGCCTCAGGAGTGGGAGTTGAAGAGAGAGCAGCTTGCATTCATGATCATCAATGGCAACCATAGCGGTAGCAATATTGGAAGGATTTTAATTGAAACTATCAATAACTACGACTTTCGCACCAAGGTTGGATGGTTCACAGCTGACAATGCCACCAATAACGACATGGCAATTCAGACCGTTGCACTCGCTATTGACCCTTCTGGTAAGGAATGGGTTGCAGGAGAGCACCGTGTACAGTAAGGGTTATATTTATATCACTTTCTATTATATGCTAAGGTCTTTTCAGTTGTATGGAGCATGCCCTACATCTGGCCGCAAAACATTTCATTGAAGAGGTTGCGCCTACCCCTGCAAGTGTTCTCATCAGGAACAAGACCAATGAAGATGACAACAATGAAGTGACTGACGATGTCGCCGATACTGTGGGCAAAGCCCTTGCATTTGTTGGGCAGGTAAGTTTGTGCCTTGTCTGATTAGCCTTGCTTTGACTAACTGTTTATTTAGGTACGGAAATCTCCCTAAGCCCATACTTTCTTCCACTAGTGTTGTGCTGAGGTCAATGAACCCAACCTCGAGCTTTTGAAATGTATTTACACTCGATGGGCCTCACTGTTTGGCATGTTGGAGTGCACCCTCAAGTTGCATGAGGTTAGTTTACCTCTACTGTCCCTACAAACAATTACTAACTCTATTGGCAGGGTGTGAATAGGTTTATACAGCTCGCAGATGATAGTGACAAAGTTCCTAACCTGCAGGGCAAGTCCTATGGCACATTCAAGCTCTCAGCTGAGGAATGGAAGAACTTAGAGTTGATGCATGACATGCTTCAGGTGCATGCTTCTTCATTGACGAGTTTAATTTTTATTAACTTATTGCATTACCAGGAGCCTGCAAATATGCAGCAATCATTCTCTGCAACTCGCGAACCCACTGTATGGCGTGCGATCCCGGTACTTGAATTCCTCCAACAAACCTGGCAAAATATGGCTGGGTCTTCAAAGTTTGCTGACTTTGCAACTGCCATGGACTCTGGCATTGACAATCTTCGCAAGTGGTACCACGAGATCGATGAAACTGACGTCTATTTCATTTGTCTTGGTACATGTTTTGATTAATGTAAAGCCCTATCTAATATATTGTATCTAGCGCTGGACCCCAACTATAAGACTGCATATGCGAAGAGCAAATGGGAGCCCCACAACTTCGACAAGGGCATGAGATGCCTGCAGATTGTTTTCGACAAATACTATCATCACAATTCCTTGCCGGATGCAGAGCCTGCTGTCATGGTTCCTTCCTCTCTTGCACACCAAGGCTCGTATGGCCACAGTTGGATGTGTGACACTGTCAAATCCCGTGGTGCGAGTGACACTGCAAGCTGAAGGCCTCGTCAAGAGCTCAAGGACTACCTGGCTTCCCCACTAGAGGATATTGAGAACATAGTAGCTTGGTGGGGCGTGAGTGTTTTTTTTTGAATCCCTATTCCTTACAAGTTGACATAAATATTCCTTAGTATCATTCAATTCAATATCCTACTATCTCACGCATTGCTAAGGATTACTTAGCCATTCAAGGCTCTGCTGTTGCATCCGAATGAGTTTTTTTGAGCGGCGGCATCACTAGGACCACACAGCGAAACTGTTTGTTGCCAACAACGTTTGAGGCACTTCAGTTGTTGAAGAACGGATACCGTCAAGGCCACATATCTGCAACGGCTTAAGCTGAGTTTGCTGCTGCTTGTGAATACCCTGACATGGATATCATGTAGTTACTGTACTCATTTATGTCGAATTTTTCATGTATTTCCTGCATTTCTTTTGAATTTATACATAGCATTTGGACATTCAAACATGTTCTGAACTCGAACCAAATGCTTCCGAACATGTTCGCAAGGGTCCAGTTCGATGTTTGCCCTCACTGCCTGAACCTGACCGATGGTCTGGTTCAGGGTTCGCATTTAGAGGCCCAAGAACCAGACTGAACTGGACTCCAGCAGCACTAGAGCCAAAGTACGTTGGAGGTCTCATTTGGGACGGAGTTCACTGGTAACAGTCTTTCAATATGTTATCTTAGACTCGTTGAAATTAAGGACTTAGTACAATACAAGTGCGCAGAAAAGAGAAGGAAAGGCACATATTGTGTCACAACATACAACATTTTCACCCTGTTCCAGCGGGAATAAAACAAAAATATTCCCTTGAAAGGGTGCATTGTGAGGATAGGAAGTGGATCTTGCGAATGATCTGTGTCACCTCCTCATGCATTGAGCAGGCATTGTCGTATATCTAGATGGGAATCGAATGACCAAGATGGATGTAAGAGTGAGAAGATGGGGACGATCATACTCAAAATGTAGCCATCAATGCTGAATTGCCGCTTAGCAGACACAGTTTGCTGATCATTGAAGAAACACATACTGTATATGAACTAGAAGTGATTGATTTCATCAGAGGCTGTTTGCATTGTCTAGAGGAAAATTTACCGTAAAGACTTGGAGACTCCTAGCAGCTGTGATGGCATCAACAGAGTAATTCAAATCCATTCAATGGGGATGGAAGGAAGAGGAAGCGGTATGTTTGACTGAGAATCATGTGAGATTAAGAATGTGTTCAGAGCTGGTGTATGAGAACATGTCATCGACTCTAATCATGAACTCAAGTCCCCATTCCATTAATGCAAAATGAGGCTCGAAGTGCTGGATGAGGTAGGTTTTGACAGGAATTACTTGGCATGATGAGAGCACAATGTTAACTGTGATCATCAGCTTGACTCTTGCTATGCTCAAGTTCCTGTTCTATTATTTGATGATGAATTGCTGGATATACTTATCAGTCTGATGTCCAACAGGTTTTGATAGGAAATACTTGGCTGCCATGCAAGCAACTCGAACCTAGTGGAATGTTTCACTGATGAAAAACCAAGCATATGTACACTGTGTGGTTCATACCTAATAACACTACAGCAACCAATCAACCTTGTTACAACAGCCATACTTGAGTTTGATCAAATGAACTTTGAACTAGGAACATTACTGGGAGCACCCGTTCTCGATTACAGCAGTCGGCAGGAGATACTGGTAGCAGATTGAGGCCAACTAGCACAGACTGCTTAGAGTTGATTGCGAGATTTTAATGGATCACGACACTTGGTAATCAAATATTGTAGGTGATGTTCCTGCTATCATTAAGGAATGCATCAGGAAAACTGGCTGCTGCTTTTCTCACTTAATTTGTCACTTAATTACGTGAAAAGGACCATTAAGTCATTTGAGTGAAAAAGTGCGCGCCACTTAATTAAGCGCACTCAATCTCTGAATTTTCGCTTATTTCACACTTATTTCACTTAAAAAAGCAAATAAAGCAGCCTGAAATTGGGCATACATGACAGCAACGTAAAATTAAGGAGACTGAAAAGTAAGAACTGGCTGGGGGTTACGGGAAAAAGAGGGGGCATACAATTGAGCAGTGACGGCAGCAGCACAAATGATAGAAAATATGATAGCAGAAGGACTCAGAGTTCAGCATAGGACAGCAATATTTGTGCAAAGAAAAATCCTGTAGTCATGAATGTCAGTGGGATAAAACCTGAGTGATAATCACTTACAAAGCATAGCACGCTCATCGTCCTCGGACTCCTCATCATCAAGCGAGCCATGTGGTGTGTCCATCACATTGTTTAAGGCAGCACTGCAAGCACACACCATCTCTACTGTGGTCTCTACATACCCAGCAGGCTTGCTCATGATAGACTTAATGAACGAGGTAGTGACTTTAGTCCAGTGAGCCCCCGAAAATAAGAACAGGTCATTGGTCATCTTCCCAGTAGTTTTATTGAGAACTTTCGGTAGCTTGAGGGCAAGTTTACCTCGCGACCTAGACGCCAAGACTTAGTTGACTTCCAAATCCTTATCCGTGAACAATTTGAAGACATGCTTGATCTAAAAACAATAAGTGCAAATTAAACAGTCTAAAAATGAAACTTACTGCTGCAGCAGAAAGGGCAATAACACCCAACATCCCACGTGTCGCGAGCGCATGCATATCAAGTCTGGGAACCTCCACATACCCATTGATGGCATTGAGATGTGCTGTGCCTAATAACTGTAAGATGAAGGGAGAACAATATGTCGTGAGGGGACTTGGGTTTTCAGGGTCCTCGAACAAGAATGCATAACCTGCAATCAACGATTTGGCAAGTTCAACTGGATCACAATTGGAGTTTCGTGTCAAGAAGTCCAGGATGATGACTATGCCTGTTGAGCCAAAATTGCTGCACCATTTGGATATATGCTGTGCAGTCTAATTACAACTATAGTTAGTCAAGCTCAACAGAAGATAATGGACTTACCAGGGAATGTATCACACCACCATGAACGATGGTAATGTTGAGGTCCTTGTATACCGCATTAAAAATCAGCTGGGCATGAAGGAGAAGGACTTCATCTGGGATATTCCAGATATCGTCGTAACTCCCAGCCCACAACATGACAGTGGGGAGATATTTCTTCATCCAGCATTGGTCCACCTGCATCGTGGCAGGTAAGTCAACATTGCAATAGGTGCCATGAGGTTTTATGTGGTCTGGCGTAGTATCCACATTCAGCTGGTGTTTGATGGCAGGAGACCGTTGGCATGTGCGGCGGATGGCTTAACTTTGACCTTTTTCTGAGCAGGCAGCTGGTTGTCAGCAACAGAAGCTGCAACAGATACAGATGTCTGTATGAGTGTCAGAATGAACACTAGTAAGTTCTGTGTCCTTACCGAAGATGTTGTGCACTGAACCTTCTCCTTCTTCACTACCACAGGTTCAGGCTCAGGAGCGTCGTCTGAAATCTCAATTGCATCTTCAAGATCCGGGCCTTCAATGTCCATGGACCACTCGGACATGATAGACTCCTCATTGTCATCTATGAGCTCATCCACACAAGCTTTCCGCTTGAGAGGGTTGTCCACCTGTGTAAATGGAGCCTTAGGCTCAAGTGAGTACTGTTTGCATTCTACGGACGAAGTTGCAAGATCATCATCTGACTCATATGCTACTGGAGCTATGGGCTCATCAAAGTCCGAGTTGTCATCAAAGATGGAGGCAACCTGTGAAGCAAATTAGCGGATATTGACACTGATAATTAATGATGGCTGATTACTTTGGATTTCCCTTTGCTTTGTGCAATAGTAGCCTCATGCTCCAATGTATCGTCAATGTCATCTGCAAAGCTTCCGATAAGGACTTCTGCATCTGGAATTTGAGCGTTCACCACAGGCTTCCGAATTGGGACCTGTAGATCAGAAGTTGCCGTAGTGGAGGCAGTGCCTTGTGAGAAAATTGTTATTGGAGGCGCTCGAGTTGAAGTGCTGCCAGTGGGTGCCCGCCGCGACCTTGACTCTGATTTTTTGATACTTGAAACCCAGCTGGACATCCACCCACCTAAAGCGATTTTCTGGGTGCTCACATTGATACTTAAAGCAAGATTGAGGAAATACAATGTTGATTCAGTGAGGAGCAACATCAAGGATGGTGAGAGAAGGAAGCCTTACTGCGGCATTGTGTTAAGACCATGCACAAAGGGTAGGACTGATTCTGAGGGGCTTGGCTTCAGCTCGTGCGCTGTGCCCCTTACCCGAGTATGTATGTGCCCTTAATTTCAGATTGGTGTCCGAAGAAAGTCCGAAGACGTGGGAAACTTCGGAAGGACTTTCCAGACAGGTGCAAGTAACTTCTGGATGAGTGCGTGAAAGTTCCGGAGGAACATCTGGAAATTACGATGAGGTTTCGTCCTGATACGGATATGTATAATGGCTACTTAGGACTTGTCCTGAGTAGAAGTAAACAGAGGAAAGGCTGCAAGGACAAAGTCCAAAGCAGAATAGGTCCAGAGGACCACAGGAAAGATCTGGATGAACTTCCGGATACTATGGAGGATCGGATGAGTGGATGAGCAGAGTATCGGATAAGCAGAGCTCCGGCCTAGGGAGAAACTCCCTAGGCCTGAGATGGATAACAACTAAGTTGGAAGACTAGAACTGATATGAGGACTTAGAATGAGATCTAGTGCGAGGACTAATATGATATTCAGACTGAGGAACTACAGGACATATACAAGAGTTTATATACTAAGTGACTATCGGAAAGATCAATAAGCAAAGGTCCGAGGCTATGTATGAAGCATAAGCAAAGTTGTCAAACGCAAGTTGGAAATGAAGCATAGGTTAATGGATCAGTAAGCATACCGGTAGTAAGTATAACCGAGATACTGGGAACAAGGAAATACCGGATAGGCTGTGTTAACGTTATATGCATAGGAAATGAATTAAGTAGCTTATCGTATATCGGATCGAACCAGACCAGATTGGATATGGTCTGGACGAGATGTGTGGATGTATGGGATATGACATTAGGGCGATAGGACAAAGGATGAATGAAGCAGGCTAGCTGTGGAGGTATGGAGGTCTGATGTATGGAGGTAAAGGGATCTGGATGTGGATGTGTGGATGTGGATGTGCAGAGGTGCAGGGATCCGGATGGGTAGAGGACTGGAGACATGGATAAGGTGTCCGAAGGTCCGGATGAGGCGTGGGAATATTATCGGACATAGGTCCGGAATACAGGATATGACACATTGGTGCATCTTTCCCATCAGATACACGTGTCATGGTGTTATCACCTTCCACTTTTGATGATGCTTTGCTGATCTTGCCTTGCATGTCACTGATAGTGTCCCTTATCAACGGCTTTCCACCTTTCTTCATTACCCTCTTCTTTGCTCCTGCAGTTTCATCCCACATGTTCTTGACAGCCTCCTGGTGGCTGTCTGCCTCATCAGCGTCCATTAGGCTGCCAGTATGATTATCACCATTCCCTACTACAGGCTTTGTCACCTTACGAGCCCTTGGCTTAGGCCAAATGGGAGCCGTTTTTTTGGTGAGTAATTCCTCCTGCGCCTGTTCCATCTCATTTTGCATACCAGCCAGGCGCTCCAGTCCCTTTTGGGTCTGTGCTTCCTTTGCTTCCTTTGCTTTCTTGAGGGCAAGGTCATCAGCATTCTTTTGCGCCTTGGTACGCCTCTTGACCTGTGCATCGAGCACTATCTGGCCAGGCCGGGTGGTTGCATTTGATGGGCAGGTGTGACGGGGAGCATTTATGGTAGACATGACTGAGGAAATGAGGTTACAACTTGGGAAGGATAATACTTTGCTGGAGTGAGAAAATAGCAAAGTGGGTTTGAAAACTCATAAGCCCCCCCCCAAACAAGCATTGACACACTAATCGAACCTTGTTACTTAGCATATCGAACTTAGGATTATGCTTTGGTCACTATCCTCTTTCTCAATTTCTACAGCTAAGATTCTTATGGGTATTCGCAGAGACCACAGTGCCCTCCAGATTCCATATGGTTACCTGCACTGTGAACGCCACTTCAAGACTCAGGCAGGGCGTAAAAAGCACTGGAATGTTTCACACTCAATATTCCAACCAGCTTCTCCCACCAGGGTCTTGCATACTGCCACAGTCAAAGATGAGCCCGAAGAACTGCACAACAATTTCCTCGCAGGTCACAATGACTTCCCAGCAGGTCATGACAATTTCCCCACAGATTTATTTGACGCAAGTCAGGCTCTGGATGATCCTGACAATCTGGATGCAGAGTTTTGGGGGCCAGGTGATAGATTATACCGCAACTATCATCCAAAACTAAATGGTACATTTCTCGAAGCTATTTCAACTGCTTGCAACTAACACAAGTATCTATACAAGCTCATCCTTGTGACACAACAGGTCAATTACTTGAAGATGGAGCACCCCTAACACCACCTCCAAGCAAATTGCCTGATGACTGGACTCCATACTGGAATCGTGTTGAGTTCAAGACTGCAGAATTCCTGTACACTCGCAACCAAATGTCCGCTGGAGACACCAACATCTTACTGGATCTTTGGGCTGCGACCCTCCTGAAACACAACAACAAGCCGCTGTTTGCGGACTGTCATGATTTATGTACATAAGACCATTGACAGTACACCAGTGGGTGATTGTCACAACCCAATAACGAATTAATGCCCAGCGTTAATTTGTTATTGGGTTGTGACAGTGATGTCAAATGGCAATCCTTCAAGGTCCAGTATACGGGAGAGAAGCCGGTGTAGAAACAACAATACTGCGAGGCGCGAACGAGGCTCCTGACTGTATCTGTAAATGTTGTAGGTCATGCGTTGCCTAGTCTGCTATACTTGAGAAGACAAGTGTGTTCGACCCTAAAGGGGAAGTGAGTGCAGTGAGGATCTAGAAGTAGGCGCTGAAGCGAAGCACAAGAAAGCGCAGGTGCGCGCAAGGCATGAAGGTGCAGGAATGCGCGCTGTGCTGTGCGAAGCGCGGGAAAGTGCGCGCAGGTATGTGGAAATGAGAGAATAAGCTTAAGTGATAATATGATGCTGCAAGATGTAAAGGAATAGATTTATACTGCGACTTTCTAGGTAGTAAGTAGTAGGTAAAGTGAGAGGTGAAGTAAGGTAATATAAGTGGTAAGGTAATGCTGGCGCTTATATATGGTACCTAAGCACTGTCATGCGGAGCTGAAGTGCTACCAAAGTGCTACCGAGTAAGGTCTAGTATGTAAAGATATATATAAGTAAGGGTCCATGATAAAAATAAAGGTGGAATGATATGCAAATAAGGGAAACGGAAATACACACACTAGAGAGCTTGGTGGACAGTGGATGGATGCTCCCAGATGGCTGGCGCTATAGGGCGATCAAGCATGGGAAAGCGCGCGCGCATATACATTGTGAAGCACGGGAAGTGTGTGTGCATGGCATGTGTTGCACGGGAAAGCTGTGCCTCATATAGAGATAGCTGTGGGTAGTGCACAGAGTGACACTACCAGTTCGTGCTATGTACTCCCTAGTGAAAACTGCCATATCAGGCCATGAGAGGCATGAGTCTCTACACCGGCACACAATGTACCATCCTGGATGGATCAATCTCACAATGTCTGGTATTGAGACCCCGATGAGGTCATTCAGAACATGCTGGCAAACCCAGATTATGCAACAGAGATGGACTACTGGCCCTACCGCGAGTTCTCAACTGATGGCAATACACGTCAATGGCAGGACTTCATGTCTGGTGACTGGGCTTGGGATCAAGCTGTATGTTCTCTTTCCTTGATTAATGTGGCTATTCACACTTACAATTTTCGGTAGGATATCATTTCCAAAGATCCGGATACAACTGGCTCGACCTTTGTGCCGGTTATACTCGGAAGCAACAAGACGACAGTTTCAGTGGCAACAGGTGCTAACGATTACTATCCTCTGTACGTATCAATCGGAAATGTTTTTAATAATGTCCAATGTGTGCATCATGATGCTGTTGTGTCACGAGTTCCAAATACAAATCATTATTCGTTCCTAAATTCTAAGTCCTTTAAGCGCCCAGTCACAGCGCCTGTTCCTAAGAATATGTTTACTGTTGAAGAAGTTCCTATTATTGTGTCTATTGTAGAATTACCAGAATCACGTGATCTATCGGACAATGCCGAAGATGTTGATGTCATGCCTCGCGACACTCTTGGAATGTTCCAGAGTCTTACTGCGGCTGCGGCACATGTTATGACATCATAGTTATATATAGAATCGTACGATACCTTTAATTATTCTGATTGGTTAGTTAGTTCATACTCAGTTTCGATCTCAGTTTCAATATGTGTATATAGGTAGCTCGTCGTAGTCAGTAGTTCTTTAGTTCAAACCTCTTGTATCTCCAAGTGAGCAATACCAAGACATACCTGCTGCCTACTTCCTCTGCGTGATTATTCTTTGTTTGAGTCCTAGTCTCTGCCCAGCGTTAATTCGTTATTGGGTTGTGACATTAGGTTTGAACTATAGGAGACTCCGACTCTCGTGTTACACTCTCGCATCTCTCTTTCTTTCGCCTGGTCGTGTTGGAAGTCATCTTCACACCATCAGCTGAAACAAAGCCGTTATACTTTTGCCCGGCTTAAACCGCCGCGACATTTTTTGATTTCATCCCTTTGCTCATTTGAGCGCACTTTCCTACCTATCATCTTTTGTAGTTAGTAGTCCTATACCAGGCCCTGTCTTACCGCAGCCGCCAGTATACGGAGGTGTTCACGACATTAGGCGTGTCACTGCAACTTTGAGTGCTGGCCCAAAACCCTGCCTGCTCAATGTTACTATAGTTTCATTTTACCTATCCCTTTCTTCATACGCACGTAGGCATTCATTTCGAGTCAATAGCGGAACTGTCTAGACGACAAACCGTGCTTTCGACCTACGAGGATTTAGAGACATACCCTAGTGAGACTCGCACTTGTAAGCTTCGGCTGGAAGAGTGATAACTTGTCCTAGGCTTGTACCCTCAGAACGGAGATTGCATTGTCCCTAGTTTTTCCCACTCGATCGAGTATAGTTTATGTATCCTTTTAGTTAGTATTAGGGAAGCATCGGTTGGGTTGATTAAAGAACCCTTCGATCCTGAAGTACGTGGTAGATCCGATCAGATATCGGGGACCGCTTCAGTTTTCCGTTTACATAACTTTTCCTTTTTCATCATCATTCCCTTTTGGAAGAGCCCTTACGAGCAGCTCTTCAAACAGACATCAATGAATCGGGTTCCAGAACACAACTGGCACTATGTCTGAATTACCAAATTCTCCTGTACAACCTACACCGGTGGTATTACCATCTACTCCACAAGAAATTGTCGAGTACATTCATATGTCACTTGCAAATCAAGCGGACAGCTTCAGAGTCAGAATTGCGGAACTAGAAGCCAAAAATTTAGCTCTAGAAGAAGCAAACAGACTTCTGGGCATACGCCTAGAAATGCAAGAAGACGAGACTGTGAAAATACAGTCTCAACAACCATCGTTCGGCTCGGCAGGAGCTAGCCTACTTTCATCGAACTCTTCCCCTTCCATCAAATACTCCAAACCCCAGGACTTCACAGGAGAAAAAGACTCCATAGAACTCATGGTCTGGATATCCCAAGTAGCGCTATACACTGCGCAATGGCCCAACATCCAAGAAGGCCAAAGGATTGGAGTAATGCTCTCCTACATGAAAGGTACTGCAGCCAAATGGGCGCAACCTTACATCACCAAACTTGGAAAGACCGGAGACGAAAAGTTGACCGTGGAGAAATTCCTGGAAGACTTAGAAGCCATGTGGGGGCAAGAAGATCGCAAAGGAAAAGCAATCAGGGAACTAGAATCCCTTAGACAAGGATCCTCCTCGGTTCCAGAGTATGCAGCCGCTTTCAAACAAAAGGCTGCACACACCTTCTTTTCCGACTACGACCAACGTCAGAAGTTCAGGTTGGGACTTCAAGACCGCGTCAAAATCCAACTTGCTCATGTCCATTACGAGGACAAAAACACCATGAAGAAACTGGTGGAACATGCAATCCAAATCGGACGCAACTTCGAAGAGCTGGACGCAGACAAGAAGAAGACGACCTGGTGGACCCCTAAACAAGGCCCCAGGACCCCTGAATACAAACCTGGTCCAAGCAGGGAAAGCGACGCCATGGACGTCGACGCCAACAAGCAGCGAGGTGCTCCAAAACCTCAAGGAAGGACTGGATCCTTCAAATGCTACCACTGTGGAGGCGAAGGCCATATGGCTAGAAACTGCAAAGATGCAGTCGCACCAAAAGTGCAGGTGAAGGCTACTACAGTGCCAAAAGAAGAAGATCCTATTCCGAGTTGGTTCAAAGCTTGGGTCAGCTCCAAGGAAGGCAAGGGTTTTTAGAGGGGTCGAAGTCAAAGTCTGCGAACTTAGACCCGAACAATCATTTCTCTATCCTATCTACATTTTCAGATGTATCAGAAGTATATATTAAATCCAAATCTGAACATTTCTACATTCCGATCACGTTGAAGGGAAAGAACCGACAAGCAGATGTGAAGGCACTGGTAGATTGCGGTGCATCAACATTATTTATTAGCGAAAAGTTTGTGAAAAAGAATGAAGTCCAGTGCCATAAATTATTAAGGCCCATTCCGGTTAAAAATATCGATGGCTCGTTAAATGCCGCTGGATCGATGACGCATTACGCAGATCTAGGTCTAAAGATAGGTGACCATATTGAGGATCAAGCAGCCTTCATGGTTACGGACTTAGGAAATGATGATGTCATTATTGGCATAGATTGGCTAAGATATCACAACCCAGAAATAGATTGGAATGCTGGACGTTTTGCACTTTCTCGTTGCCCGGTTAAATGTATTACTAAAAAAGAACAAAGACAAAAAAATAAAGAAAAAAGAAAAGAACAAAAAAAGATAGAAGAAGTGCCAGATCTGATTCCCACAGAAGAGGATGATGAAGAAGACATGGCGATGAAGAGGGCGACGGTTGAGGAAATAGAAGACGAAGAGTATCCTGGAGAATGGATCAAATATAAAGCCTCGGTTGCCACGGAGCAGAAGGTTGCAGAAGAAGCAATGAAGGTGAAGAAATCGGTCGAAGAGATGGTTCCCGATTGGCTTCACGAGTACCTGGGAGTTTTCTCAGAAGAAGAATCTAAGCGCTTCCCTGAAAGAAAGAAGTGGGATCATGCGATAGATCTTAAAGATGATGGCGATCTTCCGCCGAATGTGAAACCCTATCCCTTATCACCCAAGGAGATGGACACTTTGAAAGATTGGTTAAAAGCTGAGACTGCACTGGGACGTATAAGAAATTCACAATCTCCAGTGGCAGCACCTTTCTTCTTTGTGGCCAAAAAAGATGGCAAGTTGAGACCGGTGATGGATTATAGAAAGCTCAATGAGAAGACGGTTAAAAATGCATACCCGCTACCGAGATCTCAAGATTTAATTGATGCTTTAACCGGTGCCACGATGTACTCCAAGATGGATGTAAGATGGGGGTACAATAATATTCGCATGAAAGAAGGAGATGAGTGGAAGGCGGCCTTCAAAACGCCGTTTGGTCACCACGAACCAACCGTAATGTACTTTGGTTTAACAAACTCCCCTGCCACGTTTCAAACCATGATGAACGAGATATTCAGAGATTTAATTGATGGAAAGACCGTAGTTGTCTATATCGATGATATCCTCGTATTCACGAATGGCAATAGGGAGCAACACCGAAAAGTTGTATGAGAGGTACTGAAATGACTAAAAGAGAATGATCTGTATCTGAAGCCTGAAAAGTGTAGCTTCGAACAGACAGAAGTCGAGTTCCTCGGGTTGATAGTGGAGAAGGGTGGTGTTCAAATGGACCCTGTGAAAGTAGAAGGAGTAATGAAATGGCCGGTACCCAAATGCGTTAAAGATATTCAAGCATTTATGGGCTTTGCCAACTTCTACAGAAGATTTATCTTCGGGTTTTCGGACATCGCTAGACCGATGAATGATTTATTACGGAAGGATGTCAAATGGGACTGGACGGAGAAACAACAAGATGCTTTTGATGAACTGAAGTCAAGGTTTACATCAGCTCTGATCCTAGTAATGCCTGACGTTGAGAAAAAGATGAAAATAGAAACCGATGCTTCTGATTATGCAACTGGAGCGGTTCTATCTCAACTAATGGAAGATGACCTATGGCACCCCGTGGCGTATTACTCCAAGTCAATGAATGATGCAGAAAGAAATTATGACATCCATGACAAAGAGTTACTCGCAATCATTCAAGCATTGGAGGAGTGGAGGCACTATGGGCAGGGAAAGCCTCATCATGTGGAGATCTGGACGGATCATAAAAATCTCGAGTACTTTATGACGAGCCAAAAGTTGACAAGAAGGCAAGCCAGATGGAGTTTGTTCCTGGCGGAGTATGAATTTACGCTCCAACACAAGCCTGGTGTAGTCAACGATAAGGCCGATAAGCTTTCTTGGAGAGAAGACCACAGAGGGGGGGTAGAAAACGACAATTCTGATCGTATTTTGTTAAAACCGGAGTTTTTTACTGTAAAAGCTGCTAAAAGAGGTCAAGTTCTAGTGCAAGGAGAAAAACAATTGCTGAGAAAGATAAGGCAATGCACAGAACGAGAACCTGAAGTCGCTAAAGCGCTACAAACGCTAAAAGCAGCACCGGTACAATTGCGTAGAGGAGTCGAAGAGTGGAATGTAGAGGATGGATTGGTGTTATTCCGAGGACTGGTTTACGTTCCAAACGATAAAGAGATCCGCCGAGAGATATTGGAGTTGTTTCACAACTCTCCACCGGCTGGACATCCTGGACGTGCCAAAACCTTAGAATTGATTTCCAGAAATTATTGGTGGCCTTCAATGACAAAGTATGTCCACGATTACGTAGATGGCTGTGATAGATGCAGAGCAACGAAGATTCACCCAACGCAACCACATGGTCCGCTTAAGCCAAATGAAATACCAGCGGGACCTTGGCAATCAATCACTTGTGATTTGATAGTAGATTTGCCTAAAAGCGAAGGGTTCGACTCTATTTTTGTTGTCGTTGATCGATACACAAAACAAACGCACATCATGCCTACAAAAAAGGAAGTTGACGCTCGAGGAATTGCGAAACTTTTCTTGGATAACGTATGGAAACACCATGGAACTCCGAAACAGGTGATATCGGACAGAGGGACACAATTTGTCTCCAAGTTTATGGGACAAGTGTCGAAATGCCTAGGCATAAAATGGAACATGTTGACGGCTTATCATCCTCAGACAGACAGACAAACAGAGAGAATCAATCAAGAAGTAGAGCAATATCTGAGAATGTTCACGTCTTACCGCCAAAATGATTGGGTAGACTGGCTTCCGATAGCAGAATTCGCTCACAATAACTCTGTCACTGTAACGGGTCATAGTCCATTCAAAGTACTCTACGGATACGATCCAGAGTTTACTTTTTCATCAATTTCCAACTCTAAAGTACCTGCAGCTGATGAATGAGTGGATGTAATGAAAGAGGCAAAGGAAGACGCAGAAAGTATGCTGCGAATGACGAATGAGCGGATGAAGAGATTCTACGATAAAGGAGTAAAAGACGCACCACAATTCAAGAAAGGAGATCTGGTCTGGCTCAACGCCAAAAATATTCGTCAGAAAAGACCAAATAAGAAACTCTCTGATCGACGACTTGGTCCATTTGAAGTGCTAGAGAAGACGGGTGATGTAAATTACCGCCTGAACCTTCCAGCAAAATATCAGATTCATCCGGTATTCCATGTAGAATTACTCACTCCGCATTCCCCCTCGACCTTAGTCCAAAGACCTCCACATCATCGTCCGCCGCCAGAGATCTTATCAGAAGGCGATTCCGAATGGACAGTACAAAAAGTCCTAGACTCGAGACTGCACAGATCAAAACTCCAATACCTAGTAGAGTGGGAAGGATATCCGATAGAAGAAGCGACATGGGAACCTGAGGAAAACCTTGAGAATGCACGGTTGAACGTTCAAGAATTTCACCGGCAAAATCCGAAGGCATTAAATCCCCGCAAAATTAATAAATCGGTGTTCGAAACCCAAGAGTTTTTGGAATGGCGCAAGAAGTTTATTCGTCCTAGTTTCATTCGCGATGACGCTCATCCTAGAGAGGGGGTAATGTCACGAGTTCCAAATACAAGTCATTATTCATTCCTAAATTCTAAGTCCTTTAAGCGCCCAGTCACAGCGCCTGTTCCTAAGAATATGTTTACTGTTGAAGAAGTTCCTATTATTGTGTCTATTGTAGAATTACCAGAATCACGTGATCTATCGGACAATGCCGAAGATGTTGATGTCATGCCTCGCGACACTCTTGGAATGTTCCAGAGTCTTACTGCGGCTGCGGCACATGTTATGACATCATAGTTATATATAGAATCGTACGATACCTTTAATTATTCTGATTGGTTAGTTAGTTCATACTCAGTTTCGATCTCAGTTTCAATATGTGTATATAGGTAGCTCGTCGTAGTCAGTAGTTCTTTAGTTCAAACCTCTTGTATCTCCAAGTGAGCAATACCAAGACATACCTGCTGCCTACTTCCTCTGCATGATTATTCTTTGTTTGAGTCCTAGTCTCTGCCCAGCGTTAATTCGTTATTGGGTTGTGACATGTTGCCATCATTGGCTTCCTAGCTATGCCAAAAAGTAATCATCATCCTACTATTATTGTTCTGTGCTAACTACAGTTGAGCAGCTACAAAGGAGCACGCCTCCTGCCCCACATATCAGAAATATCGCCGGCAACTCTTTCATTTGTCTATCTCGAAGATTCTTGAGAACCTAAGGCCTGGCATGACCAAACCAGAGGTTGTGCACTTTGGCGATGGGCACTATCGATGTGTTATCTATGGGCTTGGACCATATATTGCAGATTACGAAGAACAGGTTCTATTAGCATGTATAGTGCGCTCTTGGTGTCCAAGGTATGTTCCTAGAAGTAATTTTAAATACCTTCTGCCTTACCGCTATTACAGGTGTATGTCACACCACAAAAATTTGGATGCCAAGTCATTGTATCGTAATCATGACCATACAGAAGCACTCGTCGAAGAAGTATCATCTACAGACCTGTGGGACGAATACAGGATCATTCATGACCTTGTCGTAAGTAATGTTACAGTCACTACGTGAGCCCCCAGCTACACGACCAGCCCTCTGCCACCTTGCACGGCAACGACACAATACCCAGGCCTTTAGGCCTTAATGACAGACGACTGATAAGAAGAGAAGCCCGGAAGATGCCGGCTTAGATAAGCGGTCTGGACCGCTATGACGAACACATGACGACATAGGTCTAGAAGACCTATTTATGATATCAAGATAGAAGGCAAGCCTCGTGTTGCCTCATGTACTGATAGAAGGACGCCTCGCGGTCCTTATCCTAGATAGAAGCCTGCCTCATGCATGGTATCTCTGACTCGATAGATAAGCAGATTAGAACCCAGCTTCAAGCTGAGCTTAGATACGATAGAGTAGCCTTATATAAGGTCGACGATTAAAGTAGATGTTCCTTACTTTAATCCTACTGGGTTTTACCTTGAACTCCTTGTCTTGCTAAAGCTACCTGCTTGACATCAGATCCGTACCTTCAGAAGGACTTGAGACCCCTTCTGCCTGTAAACCGCTATCATCGCTCGCCTCCGCAAGCGTACGCAACTTCCGCTCTTCTGTGGAAGCCGACCTCGGACTCTCAGCACGAGATATCACTGTTGTGATCGTCGCTGTTAGATCATCCCAGTCTGCACGCGACACATGTCGTAACAAGTAACGCATCTTGTAGTACTGCAGTTGAAATTTAATCCTTTATAGCCATTTACAAATGATTTTCCTCAAGCTGATATACACCAACTTATCGCGCCGGACCTGCTACATCAGTTGATTAAAGGAACCTCCAAGGATCATTTAGTTGAGTGGGTTGGAAAATATTTGCTCCATATGCATGGAAAGAAAGGAGCAGAGAAAATTCAAGATGAGATAGATCAAAGGTATGTTCTTTCAAGTTCATTTAGTATTTCAAAGCTTATGCCATTGAAGGATCACTGTGGTTGCCTCATTCTCAGGTCTTCAACGTTTCCCAGAAGGTCAAGGATTCAAACAATGGACTGGGGATGATTTGAAAGTGCTTATGAAGGTAAGTTCAACATTATTTCTAGGACGTTGCTACCGCCAGACTAACAACAGTTCAGGTTTATCTACCTGCCATTGAAGGTCACGTCCCAACGGATGTGGTTCGCACATTTTGTGCATTTTTTGAATTTTGTTATCTTGTCCGGCATAATATCATTACAGAATCTATGCTGGTTCAAATCCAGGACACCCTTGACCAATTCCATCATTATAGGAAGGTCTTTGAGTCCATAGGCATTGTACCTACATTCTCCCTCCCTCGACAACATTCTTGTTCCCATTACGTCCTCCTTATCTGACTGTTTGGTGCACCCAATGGCCTTTGTTCCTCAATCACTGAGACAAAGCACATCAAAGCCGTCAAGGAACCATGGAGGTGCTCAAGTCACTACAAAGCCCTCAGCCAAATGCTGGTGACAAACCAGCATCTCGATAAACTTGCAGCTTCATGTATTGATTTCAAGAGCCATTGGATGCTGAATGGCACCTGTCTGTCAGAAATGCTTCGGGCATTAAGTGAGTGTGGTAGTGCTATCATCTTTATCATTTACTTAAAACTTTGCTAGAGCGTTTGCGGTTAAATAGTATGCCTGACGCCAATCAGCCCGACCAACCCAATGAGAATAACATCACACTACTTCCTGACCTCGACATTACTACACAGGGTGACAATGAAGAGGGTGAAATTATTGGTGGCCCAACATTGGTGCAGGCCCATGTTCAGTTGGCGAAGACAATCCATAAGCCAGTTCGTATTTGACAGTGAATACCTTATATGATTTTCAACATCATGCAGAATACAAACACGCATGAACTATACCCGACTTATCTGCAGAACTCGATATCCCCCATCTCTACAACATCCTCTGCCGATTTCTATTTGAACAAGTGAACCCAAATGATCAGTGCTCTCCCTCTGAAGTCCCACTTGCAAGTTGTCCCCAATTCAATGATACAATTCAAGTTTATAATTCTGCATCTTCAATATTCTATGCGCCCAGCAACCATAGTGGGATTGGCGGCATGCGCCGGGAGCATATTCATGCCTGTCCTGTATGGAGAAACGAGGCACCCCGGTATGACTGTGTGTTTGTGAACACAGATGCAGATGTCGAAGGGATGGGAGGTATGGAGATAGCCCATGTAATGTGTTTTTTCTCTTTCACATTTGAGGGAGTTTCATACCCATGCGCTGTAGTGCATTTGTTTGACAAAGCTGACAACGGACCTGATGAGGACACTGGAATGTGGATCATTAAACCTTTGTATAATGATGGCCATTCACCGTTGATTGGAATCATCCATGTTGATGCTATTTACTGGGCCGCACACCTCATCCCAATCTACGGAACGCATGCCATCCCACGGGACCTCAAGCACTATGACTCATATGACACTTTCCAAGCATTCTATGTTAACAAGTTTGCAGATCATCATGCATTTGAGATTGCATCCTAGGTAGGACTATTCGTATGATACTCACTGGAAACGGTCAAACAGATAAATGGCCATCTCGGATGAATCATTTGGATGGGTGCATGCGCCCTCTTACGCTCGCCAAACTCGCACTCATTGTTCACTGTCAGAAGATCATTGCAAGTCATTTCACAACACTTAAAAACATTATCCAACATGAACAGTATAGAGACTCATGCCTCTCATGGCGTGATATGGCAGTTTCCACTAAGGGAGTATACAGCACCAACTCGCAGCACCACTCTGTGTACTGTTCACAGCAATTCCTATATGAGGCGCAGCTTTCCCGCGCAACACGCACCATTCCCGCACTTGCGCGCCCTATAGCACCAGCCATCCAGATGCATCCATCCACTGTCCACCAAGCTCCCTAGTGCGTATATTTCCATTTCCTTTATTAGCATAGTGTTCCACCTTTATTTTTATCATGGACTCTCACCCATATATATCCTTACATACCTACTCGGTAGTGCTTCGGCTCTGCATGACCGCACTTAGGCGCGCTATATAAGCGCCAGCAGTACATACTATTACTCACTTACTTTTCACCTTACCTTACTTTACCTCCCATTTACCTATTACTACTTACTTACTACTTAGCAGAACATAGTAGATCTCTATTCCTTTACATCTCGCACTCACATCTCTTATCTTGCATTATATCATCACTTAAGCTTAGTCTCTATCATTTCCGCATACGCGCGCGCGCTTTCCCACGCTTCGCGCTAATACGCGCGCGTGTTCCCGCGCTGCGCTTCAGCGCATACCTCTAGATCTTTGCTGCACTCACTTCCCCTTTAGGGTCGAATGCACTTGTCTCCTCAAGTAACGCAGACTAGGCAACACTCGACCTACGACATTTTTTAGATACAGTTAGGAGCATCTTTTGTTCCTCTCTGTATTGTAGTTTCTACAACAGGTAAATCCCTAACTCGTCATATATGAGATATACCGCTTACCTTGCCCCAGTTTGCAGGAATTCAAGGATTATGCTGCACCATGCATATGCTCGATCGACACTCGATCCCAGCAACTCAAAAACCCCCTCAATCTCCTCCAGAACCCTACCCTCACCCCTCCAGCTACATCTTTCCCAACCGCCACATCTGCTGGCACTTCCGGCTGATCCACCATGACAGGCCACCCTCGTCCGTAGTAGATCTGTGGTGCCATTGGTGGCTGACGAGGTCTCGGGAATCGGGCGATTCGCTGTCAATCGTGTCAGTGATCCACGATATACACAGCGTGCAGGCCACTTACGGGGGCCATAGGGCTCATCTTGTTCGTAATCTTCGTGTATAGTAGGTTATAGGTGAGTAGACAATGTTTGAGTCTCAATGTCAAGATTTTACTGATGCTGCTGTTACGAACTAGGATAGTTCTAACAACAGAGACTCGACAGAGTCTTTGGACTGTTGAGATTCGTAAAGTCCTTCAGAAAAGAAGGAGTTCTGTAAAGACTTAATCAAAGAAGTGCTTCAACTAAGAATGCTAGTTCAGACGACTTAAGATTGGAGGTCTTAAGCAAAGGAAGTTCTGGGTAAAACCTAGTAAGATTCAAGTGAAGTTCTACAGAGCTAATACACGTGCTTAAATAAGTCAATATGTGCACACGGACCAAGGTAGTCGTGAGATATAAGTACATGATCCAAGAAAGGTAAGTGATCATAGATGGAAAGCATGTTATGGAACAAAGAGGAAAAAGAAGTAGGGGAAAAGTGTTATTGTAACAGCTGCTACTGCTTGATAATCAGCATCTCACGGCAACTTCTTTGTTTGGACAACAAGTAATGCCAGCTCTGTACTACCACGAACCATGAATGCAGGGCAGCTCAAAGCGCTTGGCCACTGGTTCTGCGAGTGGTGTCTTTGCATTTGACGTTCCCCTCACATCGTCTTCAAATATATGATTCTTAGTCCTAGGCTAATACTAGTACCATGTATTACTTATTGCGCTTAATACTACTTTTTTTGCTTTTTTTGCTTTTTTGGTTGTGAGCGCAAGCGCACCCTTAATTGACTTTTGCAAAAGTGCACTAAGTTGGAAAAGTAGTGTATTAAGTTGCCGTTACGAAAAATTAAGTAAATTAAGTGAGAAAAGCAGCTGCCGGTTTTCCTGATGTGGGTGACAGTCTTATGCTTCTCAGGCTCACTTGTTTGTGGTGGAGAGGTGGGAATGAGATACCAAAAACAGTTGACCTTTAGTTCAGCACATTTGATTGACGATAAGCTGGAGGTAAACCAAACCATAGGTTCGGTTTGGCGTTCAGAAAATTTGGCCCAAGAACCAGACTGAACTGGACTTCAGCAGCACTAGACCCACTTGCATGTATAATAAATATCATGGTCACAACTTACCACATGACTCACAGTGCTGCCGCACATGTCGTGGCTGACACTGTGACCAACTCTCAAGAGCCTTTTTAGAATAGGTTGAGGCCCAAAGAATGAGGTGGAGAGGACATCTCGATCCTGGAATATCAGGAGCCATTGTAGTATTCATTCAATTATGAGTATGCGAAATATATAATATTTAATGACATGCAAAAGAATTATATATAAAAATGTGTGAAAATGGTAAAATAATTGAGCTCACTGTGTACAACAGCGAGCATGAAGGTTTTGGCAATGCACGCAGTGAGCACGCAAGCGTGCTTACCTATTTTGGTTATCATTTACATGTTGCTGTCGTATCAAGTACGTGGGAACTACACGTGATGCTAAGTCAGCCATGGGTCGGATGTTCGGATGGGCCGGATATTCCCAGAAAGTCTCAGTCTTCGACTTTTCGCCCCCATTCGCCCCATTCGTGTTCATGCCGAATTCTTTCCCACGATTAGTAATAGACAAAGTCCATGACATTTGTGACTACTATGATGCTTTGTTTCAGCCTAGTACCTCCCGACAACCCGACACATACAACTTCGAACCTTTGGGTATAAAGTACCCGTCGTAAACATCATCACTTCATGTAGACCACGAAATGGAAATTTGTGTGATGTTCTGTGATTGCACGTTGTTCGTGTGTGGATATTGTTTGCATGCATTCGTTTGCAAGTGATTGCATTTCTGCGTCTTTGTATATCGATATTATCGAACTCCCCATATCTTTGTCGTAGCATCACTCGTTTTTGCCTTCATTGCAAGAGATTGTAAGTGCGATTACATGGTATTCCTACCTGCTTACAGTTACTGCTACTACTAGTACTATGAATAAAAACCCTGCTCAGGCTGAGGCTGGGCCTTCTTCCTCTCTGCCTGTCAGTATACGTCGCAGACAAGCTCAGCAGGCTAATGTGAGGCGAGCTGCTCAAGAAGCCAAAGAAGAAGCTCATCGAAAGAGAAAGGCTCGCAATATTGATCGAGAAAAGTCAGCAGATGATGCAAGTTCTTCGATGGTAAGTGCCTCTTGTTTTACATTGAATCTAGTTGCCATCCGGTCACATCGTGCTCATCATTGGAAGCAGCGCGCTGTGCGCAACAGCACACAGATGTGGTCGCACGGCTCATTACATGTTTGGTATCCCAGTCACCGATGAGAGCACAGACATCCATTCCACTATCCACCTGTTCTCGCCAAGAGCAGATCTCATTTGGAATGCAACTGCTATCATCTGGGATGAATTACCGATGGCAAAAAAGCAGCATGGGAGTGCGTGGACCAGCGTTGTCGACGCATCATGAACATCTACAACAAACCTTTCGGAGGGATTCCCGTGATAGGACTGGGAGACTTTCGACAAGTAGGTCGAACGTTGTGGTCAGCATTGAATGAGGAAAGGGAGACTGCGAACGTAGTTTACAAATCTTTATTGCTGTAACAAATCAAGATGTATCGTCCGCAGGCGAGCGGACTGCTTGTAATTATATAATCTTTGGCACGAATGGCACGAACGGGGCGAATGGGGCGAAAAGTCGAAGTCCGAGATGTCCTCGATATTCCAGGATCGAAATATTCTGATAAGCTGAGCCAGGCTGTTCAAAACGACGGAAAAATCCAGCTACACAGTACGGCAGTTTCCGTTAGTCAGCATTTCAGAAGTGAATGTAAATATTGATTTCGAATGACCCCTCGGCGATTTGAGCAAACTCATAACACATTACGCTCTGAAGCTAGGTTTGATGTGGGAGTCGCGTCTGCACCGGGACCACTTATATATGATACTAATACAAGGATGATGAGCTTTAGCATTACATTACAAGAAGTGTTACTACAATTATGCAAGTTCATCAAGTACTGGCAATGAGTGGTTGTCGTTCTCCGTTATCAGTGTCTGCAGCTGAAGGGTGGTATTTGCGTGTCAACCGTGCAGTCAACGCGCCGTCTTCCAATCGTTCCACCTCCTCCACGACGGTATACCCTCCTAGCCATGGCAAGACAATAATCCACAGCCAGTAATAGACTCCACACATCTATAAGGGGTCAGTTTTATGCGAAATCGCGTTGTAAATGTAGTACACACCGCAAGGACACCCAGGCCCACCACACAGTAACTGAATAATGGATGTGGTCAGATGTAGACTCAGAAAGGCAACAACATTAGACTTACGTTGCGTACCAGAAAGACACGTCGCCATGACCAGGTTCCGGTGGTATCCTTGTCGAAACAATCAGTTCTGCTTCAAGGCGTTTATTTTGAAGGATAATACCAGGGCATTATGAGAAGAAATATCGAGCTAAGCAGGTAAAGATAAACGTAAATATGCCTCGCACGATACTTCGAAGGTGCAAGTCCAGCAAGCGCTCGCCGCCTTCGAAGAAGCCACAATCCTATAGCAGTTGCAACATGGAACACCTGCAATTTGTTGATCACACAGTACGCCGCGGTCGAATAAAATACCTACTAAATTCGGATAAGAAGCCAAGTCCAGCAAGAAGTTAAATGCATCTCGAGCTGGGAGGGCGACCATCACGAAGACTGTGAGAAAGTACTTCAGACACACGGGTCCCAATGGCGTGCCGAATGGCTTGGTCGATGCAAAAAATCTTGGATACGGGAGTAGCCCCTGACGGGCAATCTCACGCAATGCGCGTGTCTGACCAACAGCCTGGCAGAATATGAGTCTTCACATTATGCAGTTTCCAAATACATTGCTCACCATGGCGATCTAAAAATGTATTTTATGAGCAAATCGGGCACACGAAATAGAAGGATCACACACAAGGTTTCCGAAGCAACTTAAAGCAACCATGATCGGCAGGGTTTTGCCTGCGAAGCTCTCTCCGTATACACGTTGGAAAAATAAAGCCGCGATGAGCTGCCCAGAATTTCTTATCTCGTCCTTTGGCACCGCTGCCACGTAAGCAACATTGACAAAGAAAAAAAGACATGCGACTAAAAGCAGCGATAGCAAGCTGGCTTTGCGTACTGTGCGGACAGGGTCACGCGTATGGACTTCCCCAATAACATTAAATGCGTTGTTCCAACCAGCGAATGCAAAATTAGTCTTGACTAGAGCGGTAGCCAAAGAATTTGGATTGGTCGTGCTACCATTGAAAGGTGACCGAAAATTGGCATACGGATCGCTGATGTGGGTGAAACCACCAAGTACGAGGGCGCCCGTGAAGACCAAGCTAAAAGCACAATCTATTAGCACATAAAAGACGGTAAACGATGCGCTCACAAGACAAGAGAAAGAACCTTCAACCCAGTAAGAATGTTCACAGCTCTTAAAGACCATTTCGTTGATAGGGCGACGACTGCGTGGTTAAGTTCCAGATTGTACCTTGGCGCAAGAAATTTAAGAAGCTCACGAGCCATACCAGCAGCACAGACTGCTAAAGCAACAATGGTTTGCCTTTCGGGAGTGATGGGGACATCGAAAATTGTAAGCGCATATTGGGCAAATATAATTGAGTTTGTTGCGCTAAAACTGATCAGCGTAAAAGCAATTCCATGAATATCTCGTCGAACATGCAAATAGTAGTACGCACGACAGAAGGACTGAGGTTACAGCAAACATGATTGGGACCAAAAACTTTGGACGCGGATATGCCTGCTCCAAGTACACAACTTCTGCCCCGGATCTTTTTGGGAACATACTTGCGTATTCACTGTATACCATGAGACCTCCGAATGCAAACAGAGGAGCTAATAGCCAGAAAACGAAGAGTAGGCCGACCGAGCCAACAGAATTCAGTATGACGCCCGGAACAGAGTATATTCCTGCGCCGAGCATTCGCCCTAGATTGAGCATAACAGAGGACAGTAATGTAACCTTGTAACCCAAGGGATTGTTCTGCAGACGATATGAGTATTTGAGCATTTACCGGACACGAGTGAATTGTTGTTACCCTCTCTATTGGTGCTCCCGCAGCTGACAAAGTGTTTCCTTCATCTTGCGCGTCCTCACCGCTTTGAGCGAGGACTTCGGAGTCCAGGACGTTGTCGATGGTCATGACGGTAGGATTATAAGACTAGTACCCAAGACGGTATCATATTTCAATTTCAAGACCCATGCTCAGCGCTCATTGACTAGCATTATGGCGCAATCACTGGAAGCCGGCGATGATGAGAGTAACAATGTCATGTTTGATAAAAATAACTTTTGGCTGAGTCAGGTCGGGCGGAGTCTTATGTAAAACCGGTCCCCAAAATCAAATAGCTTCTTTTTTTAGATTCTTGTGGTCAACTTGCGGCGGGACACCTGGGATGGTCATTTGACTCACTTGTTATAGCAAAAGATGAAACGTTCACCAATTCTTAAACGCCAAGGATATTAGCAGTTCGTACACACATGGCTCTCACTTCCTAAAACGTTTCGCAGGCGAGAAATGATATTCACGAAAAGTTCATATAGCAGCCCTGCTTCAGAACTTTTGTCCCTCGCCTTTATATTTGCGTCTGACATTCTATAGCTGAGCACTATCCCTTGAAATATGTCCGCCACTCATGGGGAGTCAGACGCTGCGGTGCAAGAGGATAAAGTCGCTCTCGGTTATGATATCTTGTCTCAAGTCAGTCCTGCAGAAGGTATCGGGAGGGACTATCAGCTCAAGTGTAATCTCAGTAAGCAGGGAATTTTTCTTTTTCTTTTCATGTACCAATTGGTGACTTGTTACTCATTTAATCAGTCAATAGATGTTTTCAAGAAGAGTGCGTTGAGCACAGTCACGATTTTGTGATAGATAACCCAAGCCCATTCCACCGAACAGGATTGGCTTTGGTCGTTATCAATGGCAGCTCTTTGTTATTACTGGTCTAGGATGGCTCGCAGACAGTGAGATAAAGTTGCATATATCGCACGTGTTTCATCTAATTGGTTGCTGCTACTAGATCTCTGGCTGCAAGGTTTGGCAATCGTGCTTCCCCAGGTACAACAGGAGTTTAACCCGCTTCGGGTCGAGTACGCTGTCCTGGCAGAATTCGCTGGATTGATTGTTGGAGCCACAACATGGGGCATTATGGCCGACCTTGTCGGAAGAACATTATCTTTCAATGTAAGTTATGCACTGAAAGTCATGTGGGAGACTTTTTGATTGTTGACTAAAAGGTTACACTCTTTCTCGCCGGCCTCTTTGGATTGGCAGCAGCAGGTGCACCCAATTTTGTGATATTTTGTTCCCTTATAGCATGCATGGGCTTTGGCATCGGCGGCAAGTGAGCACATCTGTGTTTGTAAGGCCAAAAATGGATCTAATCACTCGACATCACTGTTGGTATTTGCAGTTTGCCTGTTGATGGTAAGTAATGTTCTGACCAAGAGACACCCTCATAATTTATCATCCATGTACCTGAAGGCGCCTTGTATTTGGAACATATTCCACAGTCTCATCAGGTGCGTCGTTGGCCGCGATATTTTATCAGAGTTAAGGTATTTAATATCCGACTCCTAGTGGACTTTAACTCTTCTGTCAGTCTGGTGGGCGTTGGGACAGTTGGTAGCATCTTTAATCAGTTGGGCTTTTATTGCCAACTTCTCCTGTAACCCATCGATACCAAGTGGCCAGTGCGCCAAATCTGACAACATGGGATGGCGATACACATTGTGAGTCACGTCTTAGTGACATTATCGTATACAAGGTTGATGCTGACGCCTGTCTCTAGATATACCCTGTATGTTTTACATCAACTGCATCTGTTCTACCTAATTCCTCTACTTAGCGGGGCTTTGACATTCTTGATGTTTATATGTCGCTTCTTTGTTTTTGACGTGCAGGAATCGTCAAAATTTCTGGTGGCGCAAGGTCGTGACGAAGAAGCCATTAAGGTTTTAACATAATGCTACTGATTGTCGTCAGGCTCAGCGGAATGTCTCTGCAGGTCCTGGAACATATTGCAAGGTGTAACGGTAGGACTATTACACTCAAACTCGAAGATCTGCAGGCAATATCTGGTGACACAACATCTAAGCCGGTACCGAATTTGTCCACTAGCGTCTGGAATTCCTTTTCTAAAATGTCGCTGTATGTCGTCTGCTCTGAAATTATATCAGTTGCTGAGTCCGCTGCAGCTCGCACGTCCGTCCGCTCTTTTCTAACAGGCGCTTGGTAATTAACACGACCCTTATCATCGTTATCTGGGGGTATGTACCTAAAGAATTGCCTGTGTTCGTCCATGTTGACTTGCGGATGTTCAGTTTGATTGGCATCGCATACCCACTCTTCAATGCCTACCTCCCACTTTATCTTTCTGCACAAGGTTCGGCATCCGGTTCGTCAAGTGTGAGCGAGACATACCGCAACTACTCGATCGTATCTGTCCTTGGCATCCCCGGGTCTCTCATTGCCTGTGCGACCGTTGATTATACTCGTGGCTCTGGTCGGTGGCTCGTAGGGGGACGGAAACTTGTGTTGGCCGTGTCAACTATGCTGACTGGACTCTTCCTCTTCTTGTTCACAACGAGCAAGACGACGGCCGCAGTACTCGGGTATTCTTGTGCTTCTGGTCTTACCCAGTGCGTACTCAACACTAACCTCATAAACCACATATGCTGACAACATACACACAGGAATGCGGTGCGATTGACTTACTGAGTTGAGTATCATGCACTAATTCTTTTCCTTTAGATGTATGGAGTCTTGTATGCATATGTGAGTGATGTACTGGAGCTGCCCAAGATCCTGAAATGTGACCCCAAACCTTGTAGACCCCAGAGGTCTTCCCGGCACCTCACCGTGGGACGGGCGACGCACTCTGTTCTGCGCTGAACCGCATCGGCGGACTTATTGCCCCTCTTATCAAGATTGCCACCACACCGCTCAGTGGCACTACATCAGCAAACACGGCAAATGGGTGCGTCGTGATCGCATCCATCTTTATCGAGCTGATAATGGCTTTTGTATTTTGCAGTCCTGTCTTTGTGTCTGCTGCGTTATTTATGGTTGCAGCCATCTTGACGATATTACTTCCTATCGAAGTGAGTCCGTCGATCCCGTGATCTGTATGCACCTGATATCTCATTTTATAAACTGCGGGCAAGATGGCTTTATGAATCTCACGCACACGGTATACTCCAATATCAGGTTTAAACCCATAATGATTCGAACTCGTGTCTAGTCGTATAATTAAAACATACATCGAATGATCTATTTGTGATCAATCGCAAACCAACCGAGACAGTGCCAAAAAGACAACAAAAACAAAACAAGTAAAGGAAATAAAACAACAACATAAGTCAAAGTAGCACATACATTGGTCATACAGTAACGAACAAGCAGATTATCCTTGATATTTCTTGATTAAGTCCCTGAGACGCGCCTGACCAAATCCAAGGTCACTAGGGGTGCGAGTAACTCTGGGGATGGGTGTCTTAACAACACTTCTAAGATTTGATATCGTCTCCGAAATCATTGGAGGTAGAGGACGGGATGCTGGGGTCCTGGGGTTGGGTGATGCACGAGCAAGAGAAGCAGTAGATGAAAGCATGGGCACAGCATGAGACGATGAAATGACAGCAGGAACTGTTGTTGCTTTCGTGGCCTTCCCGCGTCCCTCCCTGCTCGTATCGGCCGGACCCTGGGTTTGCGATGTTGACAGTGGGGACCTGACGGATAATTTTCTACCATGGTTAACAGGTTTCTTCAAGGGCTGAGAAGCCTCATGTTTCTTCGCCTGTATCTGAGTCGTATCTGCTTTTGCGGCCCATAACGAAGCAACTTCAGTGACTCTGCCACCTTTCCCTCCGCGTGCAGAGCGGATCACCTCTGGGCTAGGTGGTTTAGGGGAATGGCGCGAGTGATGAGGCGATAAGAAATGAGGAGTAACTGTGGATATGAGATCAGCCCTTGTTATGTCAGGGGATTTCGATCCTGCGAGCGGAGCATTCAAAAAAGAGCCAATAGGTGTTACAGTGGCTGACTGGCCAGTGGACATCCTTCTCAGGATTGGACCCGGTGCCAATAACTCCGCGGCGGGATTTTTCTTTTCTGCATCAAAGCTACTATGCACATTTTCCGGTGCAGGCGCAGTAGAGTGTCCAGTGCTAGCGGCCTTGAGCGTAGAAATAGTCACGAAGCCAGATGAACGTGGATTGGGAGCTGCAGAAACGTCGTTGTCGAAGGGTATTCCTCCAAGTTCTTGATTGCCTGACAATGGTAACAGGTCTTCTGACAATGACGGTGGCGCGAAAGGCTTGTTGTCAGTGATGGGAACGAAGTGGGATGCGGCGGGCGACACCATAGATAACGAATCATCCACAAGTGGTGGGCTTGTATCGATCTCCCCTAGCCATGCTGCAATCCGCCCTTTGACCTCACTACGCAGTTTCCGCATATCACCCACCTTGCCTCTCTTCCGCTCCCGCTTCTGCGTAACCTGTCTCTCATCATCCTCATCATTATGTTTGCTCTTTACTTTCCCCCGTCCCCTCTGGGTGCGCACCTCGCGTTCATCATCACTTTGACTGTGACGGCCACCTCGGTGCTGTGTTCTCTCATCTGAATCATGATCCTGCTCTTGCTCCTGCTCCCGCTCGTCCTCGTCACCTCGCAGAAAAGCGTCACGATCCGCAAGCGTCAGGCTCGATATGGTACTGTCATTCACACCAGCGGGAGCCCCACTGGCCGGAATCTTAATTGGCTGCACCACGCTGCACACATCCGGGCGCAGCTCACCTACGTCCTGGCGGCGCGTCCCTACCTCTGCGAGTAGGCGCCGCTCGAGGGCGTCCAAGCCGCTCTCCTGCGGGGAGCCCTTGATATAATTGGTGCTCAGGCCAGATAACTCACACGGTGCGCGCGGGAACTTGACAGGAGTTATAGCTGCGAGTGGCGGCATCGGTGGAAGGGGGTAAGCAGATCCCAACTCAGGCTTGGGCGCAGAGCAACCAGGAACAGTAATATCGGAAAATGCTGCCTGGACGTGCTGTCGAACGTGTAATGGTCGTTTGCCAG